TATATATATATATATATATATATATATATATATATATATATATATATATAGATATATATATATATATATATATATATATATATATATGTGTGTGTGTGTGTGTGTGTGTGTGTGTGTGTGTGTGTGTGTGTGTGTACATAAAGTACATTATTTGAGTATTTAAAGTACATTATTTTGTATACTGTCAAATAATGTATTAGTGTGTAGACCATGGTCTACATAAAAATTTGTCGCTCCCTTCCCTACAAGCTAAGGAATCGGGTTTATAATAAGATCTAAAAACAATGGACATCAACCAGCTTGGTTGGCGTGAATGGTCATGTACTGTCATTCCTTAACTCCTCCCCCCACCCTCACCCCCTATATAACCCTTGTATGTATAAAAAAAAATATTAACAAAAGATGATCTAGTTCAATTGGTAGGGTGCGTGTTTGGCCTTTGGTGAATCAGTTGTTTGAATCTTTGTATGGCTTAGAGGTCAGGAACTCGAACCTCCTTTCATATGGTAAAACATGTTTAAATCTTTGTATGATTTAGAGGTCAGGAATTCGAACCTCTTCTCTTAATACGGTAAACCCAATTTGACCAGCACTTTACTCCTTAATTAGATCTGCGATAAACCGCAAGCTAAGTTATAAAGATTTATCCTTGAATCTATTTCTATTATAGCATATACTATATACACATATATAATGGGGTTGGGGGGCAACTGCCTCCAATCTGCCCCTAAGTATAACACTATAAACAATGTAACCCGCAAGCATTGCACAAAGTCCGCAAATAATATCCAAAGTCAAAATGCATACCCAATATGACAATAATTTTCTCAAGTCGAAACGCAAATGATATTAACTGTCCCACCTCCTCAACCAACAAGAAAGTCATGTTACCAAATGACCTCTTAAGTCTTATTGCCATCGTAAGTCAATATTAAATTATAAAATAAATCGTAATAACATACACTAAATAACTATTGGCTCAAGTAAAAATAAAATATACCCCACTTTAACTTCAGCTAATAAAATTGACAACTAATAGAATTGTCCTTGTGACCCAGCACGCACATTCTGTTCAGATGACATGTATTGATTCTCTCATATAGGAGGTCATGAGATCGAGCCTTAGTAGAGGCATTATTGACTCTTGTGCTTCAGTAGGTTGAGAAAATATATTTAAACAGACACTTGTAATAGAGTCAGTAATTTAAAAAAAAAAAACAGAATTGTCTTGTGCAGCGCCATGCATACATGCAAGAGACAAAAAATGGAGTTATTAGCTGGGGGCTTAATTGATGATGAGGTCCTTTTCTCCACATCGGACCACATTTTTTGCAGATCGAAGACAGAAGATTGATCAGAAAGTGATGAGCTGTGGTGGATACTCATAATGCATCCACACCTACATTTCCCAGCCTGAATTGCTGAAACCTTCGTCAGCCTGCCTACTATACACCCACAATATTACACAAAACCATATCAATTTTGTCTACAAATAAATTAAATAATGCTCATATGTACATACTATATATATTGTAAGAATATAATTATGATGCACCGATATTCTAAGAGGGATTGGAGTGTTTTTACGATGGGATATGATGGCTAGGTGTAAAACTGTGTGCGATACTAACTGCTTCTATATATTAGCTAGAGTCTTGGCTGGTGTAGAGGACAAAAGAATTGAATCAGAGCAGATATATAATTTATAGCAATTCAAATTGGCTGTATATATATACCAAGAGTGTTGGCATTTTGAAAAATGTCAACTAGCTAGAACATAATGATTACTTTCTTGATTCAATCTTGGTTCGTACTTTAGCAAAAAATTAAATTGTCACAATTACATACTTTAATTAGCTATTGTGCAGCAATTAACAGATAATCAAATACTTAGACTAATCTTATTTCGCACTTCAACTAAAACTCAAATCACCAATTAACTTTATAAAAGCATGTCATTCACGTTGAAAATCTCAGCCTCCTCAAAAGATATATAGACGTATAGCTAATAGCTTAACCTCCATAAACAATCCTTAACTACAAAACGTGCACGAATTGTTCCATTAACAGACTACTGTTGGAGATTTTTTTTTTGCGTAAGGCTCGATGAAGGATGGCTTGCAAATTTGGGAATAGTTTAATCTGAATTAAAGTTACTTCAATGTTGATTTTAATTTTAATTACAATTTTTTTAAAAAAAAGTTTAATAATGAAAATATTTTACATAGTTTTCATGTCCTGAATCAATTCCCAACTCCCAAGGTTTGAAATAAACCTTTGCTTCTTTCTAATATTGTAAACTTGATGTCATCTCATATACTATGCTTTTTCTTTTATTTTATATGAAAATAAGGTCAACTGCTATGTAGTGTGATGAATGGTCATATGATCAAACCTTAACAGAGGTGATAAAAAATATTACTTTGTCAATAATTTAGAGATAGAAATTATGAATTTTCTAATAATATAGTTGATCTTTCAACATCAAAACACAAACAAAATTCATGAAACAGATGAGTGAATCAGTGAAGGAGAGGAGACAGAACCAAAGACAAGATACTTTTGTGGTAGAGAAAATATTCTTTAATTCCTAGTACAATTCTCTGTTTTTGTTTATTTTTTTATATTTATTTCTAGGAATTCCAAGTGTAGTTTATTTATTTATTTAGTAATAATTCCAACCGCAAAGGCCTAGGTTGTCCGCCAAATTCGAGGCGTTCTGATGTTGTTCACGTGCAATGTACGGGTTTACTCACGTGCGAGCCCTTTGTTTGTCATTTCACCTTCTCATTATATTTAACCGTCTAAAAAATTAAAATTATTACTCCGTATTTTTTAAAAAATAAATATAACAATTTTTTTTTACATTATAGTTCCAAATATTATTTAAATATTTCCCCGGAGTAGCATTTTCCGTTCCGTTAATTTCAGAGGAAAACCAATGTCCCGGGATATGTCGATCGAGTCTACCATTCATCGATTGACACGTGTGCGGAACGCAGGATTGTTACGTTTTAACCGAGCATGAAGGGGGGAGGATTCCAGTAGGCCCCACTGTTGCTTGTCTTTTAAACGGAAAAATGCCATTTAAGCACCTTCGCATTCTTTCCGGTATTCTGTTCACTCTCAAAACTGTGAAAGAGAGAGAGAGAGAGAGAACAGAGAGCGCTTTTTGGGAGGAAGCCGAGAGCGCAGCTCTGCATAATCTGGAGGTATTCTGTTTTCTCTACGGCTTTTTGATCGATTGTTTATAAGCTACATTGCCGTTTATAATTCTGTATGTATGGATGTTTATGCAAATGTGTTCTTTGGACTTCGATTTGTGATCCTTTCGGGTTTTCTTTGTGCAATTCTCTGTATTTTGGGTATGCAAATTCCTGTTAGGGGTAATTTCTTGCATGCACCACTGAATTATGTATAAACATCAGCTTATGGATATGGTTATTATTATTATTATTAATTTTTTTTTTTGGGTTTATTTATGATTTACGGAATGAATTATTGAAGCTATAACTTGACTAATATAATTAATGAATTTTTACTTGATTTTTTTTTTAAAAATGGAATCTTTGTTTTTATGTGATTAGCTTTTACCTGAATTTGTTTAGTTATTTATTTTAACATGGGAAGTCTTTGCTTCAAAGTTTCATTATAAATTTGTTGTCTTTTTGCTTATTCATAGCTAATAGCTTCCATTGTTAAGATAAACTTGTACAATAATTGGACTTGGTGCTTTTGCAGGATTAATATAAAACTGTAAATGTGTGATATCACTAATGCCTAAAGCTATTAATTGAGATGAAACATATATATTTCAATAGGGTATGGTGAAAATGTGATTGAATGTGCCTGTTCACCTGGAGATTATAGTTGAAGTGGAACAAATATGAAATGTCATGTTAGTTTCTAAGATTTTTGTGTTGCTTATGACAAAGAGTGCTAGTGTTAGACAGGCAAACAAGCGAAAGAAGTAGTCACTCCTGATAAGGTAGGAAATTTCCTACCTTTGAATTTACAGTGTGTTCCGTCTTACTAAAAATTGTTAAGCTAATTGGACCGCGGTTTAGGGTGTAGTTTGGTGGTAAGCTACACCTATTTTATATTTGGGTTTGAAATTTGAAACCCACCTCCCATGCCCCCATCAAATGTAACAAGAAATAAAAATCTTCTAGTTCTTTAAATGACCCTCTTTTATGAATGTTGGAAATTTCTTAGCTTCAAATTAATGATGGGTTCCATGCTACTCAAAATTTCTATGCAAGCTTTAATGCTAATTAATTGTTTGGCGCATATAATAATATTGTTGAGTAAATATCTTGGAGGTCTGAACATATGTACGGAGTAATTTGTAAAAAATAAATTGGCAGTTAAATATATGGGTACGCTAAAGTCAAGGTTTCTATTCTGTAATAGATTGTACACCTAGCAAATGGTTATTTTCCAACTGACATCTTTATGAATGTAGAGTGCGACGCGTTGATATTATATGCTTTATTGTCTTTACGTACAAATTTTTATGGCATTTAATTAAGGCATGCTGTTATAAGTTGGATCTTCAGAACTTATTTGGCAATAGAACTACAAGTCTACAACTAACATATGAAGTGTATTACCTAACATTTAAGTATGGAAGGCCCATCAGCCCAGGTATGTGTGATGGGTTGGTGTGATTGTAATATATGCTTTATTACCTTTACGTACAAATTTTTATGGCATTTAATTAAGGCATGATGTTATGAGTTGGATCTTCAGAACTTATTTGGCAATAGAAGTACAACTAACATAAAGTGTTTTACCTAACATTTAATTATGGAAGCCCCAGCAGCCCAGGTATGTGTGATGGGTTGGTGTGATTGTAATTGTATTCCAAAGTTGATTTTACTGTGACTTCTGCTTTTGGAATTCTGCTGGACAGCTGGACCCTCCCTACATAGAACTTTTTTTCCTCGAGTATTTATCACAAGGTGATCAGCTTGGTTTCAATTTTCATTTCCCAATCAACTTCACGTGTCAGATCAAATGTAGTTGGCATTCTTTGTTCTCATGCTTTCTCCAATATTTCTGTGTCAACTGTGTTTTTCACATATCTTATGATGTGTTCATTTACTGAGAAGTACACTGCACTCTCTCTCTGCCACTGAATGCCAGAGCATGAATTATTTTTCATGCTATCCTCAATTTACTTTCTTGAATAAATAGAAAAGTTTCCAATTTTGCAGGCTTGGGATTTGAAGGTGTAGAGAGCCATGGGTGCTGGTGGCCGAATTTCATCTTCAACTGAATCTGGTTTTAAGAAGAACCCACTTGAAAGGGTTCCATATACTAAGCCTAAATTCTCCCTAAGTGATATCAAGAAGGCCATCCCTCCTCATTGCTTTGAGCGATCGCTTATTCGGTCATTCTCATATGTTGTGTATGACTTGTTCTTCGTTGCTCTTTTCTACTACATAGCCACCAATTATATCCATTTGCTTCCATCTACTTATCAATACCTTGCATGGCCTATTTATTGGGCTCTTCAAGGTTGTGTCTGCACTGGGATCTGGGTTATAGCCCATGAATGTGGCCACCATGCTTTTAGTGATTACCAATGGGTGGATGATACTGTTGGCCTTATCCTTCACTCTGCCCTTTTCGTACCCTACTTCTCATGGAAATATAGTCACCGCCGCCATCATTCCAACACGGGTTCCCTTGAGCGTGATGAAGTCTTTGTCCCAAAGCCAAAATCTAAAGTCAATTGGTTCTCCAAATACTTGAACAATCCACCAGGGAGGGTTATAACAATGACTATTACTCTTACTCTTGGTTGGCCATTATATTTGGCTTTCAATGTGTCTGGCAGACATTATGACAGATATGCATGCCATTATGATCCTTATGGCCCAATCTTCAATGCTCGTGAGAGGCTTCAGGTCTTCATTTCTGATGCTGGTATTTTTGCTACAACATATGTGCTTTACCGCCTTGCTATGCTTAAAGGGATAACTTGGGTCATCTGCATCTATGGGGTTCCTTTGCTTATTGTCAATGGCTTTCTTGTTCTGATCACATATCTGCAGCACACCCACCCAGCATTGCCACACTATGACTCGTCCGAGTGGGATTGGCTAAGGGGAGCTTTGGCCACCGTCGATAGAGATTATGGAGTGCTAAACAAGGTTTTCCACAACATAACCGACACTCATATAGCTCACCATCTCTTTTCAACCATGCCACACTACAATGCAATGGAGGCAACCAAAGCAATCAGGCCGATACTTGGAGAGTACTACCAAATTGATCGCACTCCATTTTACAAAGCAATGTGGAGAGAGGCAAGAGAGTGTCTCTACGTCGAGCCAGATGAGGGTTCTCAAGTGAAGGGCGTGTATTGGTACAGAAACAAGCTCGAGTAAAACTCGTGTGTGAAGTTTATCTCTTGCTGGTCAAGTCCCCATGATGGCAACTTATAGTTTGGGTCTATACAGGTACTTCGGTTACTTAAGGTTGTAGTAACTAGTGAGTTTATGTTAGTGGACATGGGAATGTGTTTCTTATGCTTCAGGGAAAGGAGTTTGCTGCTCTTTTTCCTTAGTTATGTGCTAATGTTCAATTCAATAAAACAATGACAATGTGCTTGTAGTAATGGTGTCTTTATATTATTTTCTATGATTGTGTTAGATTCAAAACCTAAATAGCGGCCAGTGTTCCCGTGACTCCACCCTGTTTATGAGTCCGTGTGGACAGATATTGGCCATTGAATACTTGAAATTAATGGCTTAGATTTGGCTAACTGTGCACGACAACTGTGCATTTCACTTCACAGTTCGCGTTACACAACTGCCGAAATCTAAGCCATTGATCTCAAGCATTCAATGGTCCATATCTGTCCACAGGGACTCGTATAACAGGATGGACTCATTTGATCACCTAGTCTATATATATATATATATATATATATATATATATATATATAAAAGATGATGGAAAACAACTACACAATACAACAATCTCCATTCTTATATCAACTTATTATCAAGGAACCATTCTTACAGATTGTGACAAGTAGTTCAGAGTTTGCAAATGTTCATAAAAGATGAATAATGTAAAGAGTAAACTAATCTACAATGTACACTGAGAGAACCATCAACAATTCAACAATTTATATTCACTTTCATATACAGGAAGCTTTTTCCACTTCAATTATATTTTCTGCAAATTGCTTCTTGCTTGGCTCTACCTTAGGAGCTGGAAATAACAGTCTGTAGCTCTCTTGCGACCCATGTAACTTCAGCAAGGCATTCGAGGGTATCCTCGATTACCTCTCCGATCATCATCAGTAAGACTCTACATTCTACAGGCAACAAAAACGCGAACTTAGAAGTTAAAACCGAATGTCTGATCCACTTGGTATGATCGGGACTACTAACCTGGTATTTTGCTGAAATTGAGTAGACAGACAGAAGCAAGAACCTTGTGCTCGAGCAGCTTGCCATGTTCGAGGCACGCTTTCAGCTGACAGATGAGAGCTGAGAAGGCAGACAGCTCGAACTCTGAACCAGACCGTGAAGAAGAAGCGAGCACTGAGCTCAACCATGCTACTGTTGTCAGGCACACCCTAACCAATTCTATATTCCCGGAGGCTAAACACATCGAAAGTGCTCCCAAAAATGACTTCTTGCCGCTTCCAAGAAGCATGGCTGACATTCTCGCCTGCCACTCCTCCCTCACCTCTTCTTCACCATCATCCATCTGGTTAAACACGACTAGTTAAGATTCCTTGTATCCACATTCATTCACTAAGATGCATTATGAGGCATGGAAGCGTCTAAATGTCATAAAATTATGATTCATGAAAGCCAGAGGTACAAAACCATTTTTTTTTTTTTTTAACTTTGATTAGTAGATGAACATACCATTGTTATCCTTCCATTGTCTGGTTCATTGTCTTCTGTGCTTTCAAGATCCGATTCAAAACGATCAATAAATCCAGCCTGCTTTAAGATCCAATCTTCTGTCATAATCTTCCCAAATGCAGAAAAATGCCTTCCTAGTATAAGGAGTCCTTTGCAACACATTTCTATTAGCCTTTCATCCAAAAAGCTGCTTTCTAATGCAACTGTAATAGCATCAATGGCTCCATCTATACAAACATTGGAACATTGTGTGTCTGTCTGCAAGATCAGAACACAAGTGTCATCTAAACCTGATTTTAGAGAACTTGGAAACAGTAAGTTTTCGAAGATTTTTCTAAGACATTTGAGCCTTGAAGTGTACCAGAAGGTGAAAATGCAAGATTAATACAGCAACCAGCGATTTCTGTTTGCAGTGAGAGCTCTGCAGATAGGTCGATAACAGAATCGTTATATTTGCTATATCGTCACTTTGAAGGCCAGATAGAAAATATGTTGCATCTTTTCTCCTGAAATATCAGAGATAGTGTCAAAAAAAGTTAATAATCAGATTAGATCATTAATACAAGAGGCTTTTGATATCATATATACCTGTTCAGGCAAATCAGCTCGGTCATCAATGAAATAGCATTCTGAACAGATTCTAAATCCTCACTGCAAAGAACCTCAAGCAGACACATTTTATCAATGTTTCTGGCAATGAGGTTTCTGCAATTAGAGTCAGCTTCGATGCAAGAGGATAGCAAAGCGGAGACACATTTCTTCTCATTAAGGTTCCCAAGGTTGAATCTGTGGATGAGAAACTGTAAACCTCCAAGGCATATAAGCTGTTTCACATTTTTCGTTCTTTCATCTATACTCGAAACGATAAGAAGCTTTTCTAGGATGGAAACAGCTATCTCAGCCTTTGAATCACTCGCGAATTGAGATGAAAAGGCCAATAGATGCTGCCAATGCTCAGACCTCCACTTATCAATAACGCGTTTTAGAATGAAGTTACTTAGAGGCACAGCTTGGCATTCTAGCTTTTTGCTCGTTATTGGACAAGTTCTATTTCCTTTGGAGAACCAGTTCAAAATAGCTGCTCTCTCGAAGCTTTGTCCAGTCTCAAGGGTCACCGGATCTTCAAAAACAAGTCCAGTCAGAGGGCAGATAAACTCGGTTGGGATGCTCAAACCTAAAGGCCTTTCACTATCAACAGATTCCTCGGTATTCTGCTGTCCAAAAAACGCTTTTGCTATCCTCTCGATGATAATCTTGATTACCTTTGAATGAGGTGCAGCATCTATAGTACCATAAATTTCTTGAATTGATGGCTTTGGATGAACATCGCTAAAATGTTCAACTAGTTTGTTCTCTTCTTGAATCTCTGCCTCTTCAGTTATTGGCATGCTATACTGCAGAAATTCATCTTCAGAGTATAAGTTTCCTAGTAAACGTTAAACATCCAATGATCTAAATGCAAAAAGTTTAGTACTTACAGACTGGCATGTAGCGTAAGGTTCAATTTTAACTATTTGAGAGCAGTGTGTTTCTTCAGTGACACTACCATTCGACATTGATGCACTCCCGCCATAGCTTTCTTCCTTGTAGTAGTCCAATTCCACTCCATTTTTATGCCGAAATACCTCATCATATAACTTTTTACTCACCACTGGCTGGGGTGAGAAACTGCCTACAATGCACGAAACGCTATTGGGATCTTCGTTCCGAGCCAGCTGAGGAGATAAAAATGGAATTTTGACGGAAGGGATTGAAGGAGGCTCAACTCCTTCTGTTAACCAATCCTTGTAGTAAACCGCAAACTTATTAGTCCCAGTATCCATAGTCTCATTGTATACTTTTTCAAGAACCTTAAGCTTTCTTGATTTGCTGTCTGGACTTTCGAGCATGCCAAGTTCTTTAATGTACCAAATCTTCAAGTGGGATAGATGTGGGAGGAATATATTATCCCACAAATCTGGCAATAGACTCGTCCTCGCCTGCAATGGAGAATCACAAAATACTTGCAGGATATGCTTTGCAGCGATTCGGTCTTTTCTCTGCAGCTTATATATCACACTGAGATATAGATGAGCACAGGCTGCAAGCTTAACATTGGGAATTCCAGATGTGAACCCGTCTTTTAGATCACTGGAATTCAAACCTGTAATGACACTAAGCTGCAATGATGCCTTTTTCAGCTCTTTTAGACCTGCAGAACCTTCTGCAGATTTTTCCACTGTTTCTATGGCTTGTTCGAGATTGGTTATGATCTTGCTCTTCACATCCAGTCCTTCTGATAAACCAGAAAAATTCAAGGAAGCAAAGCTGTTATGCCGAAGAGATGCCCTGAAATCCTCGTCTCGAAGAAAGGATTTTATGTGGTTACTCAAGATGGAAACGATGGCTTGAGTAGCAGCTTCGTCAATTGAAGGAGTATCCATAGCCTGCTCGATCCCCGCCTTCCTTCTACCTCTGCTATCATCGAAACTCTTCCCATTTAGCGAGTTTCGCTTGGAACTGGCACCAGACATCTCAGCATGTACAATGTTTTTCCTGTAATTGTTAGCATATGTTGTTGTACTATGTTGCCTGCCCTTCTCGCTCCCCTCGTGGCTGTAGACTTGGTTCGAGTAAACATCTTTGTACCTCTGATCACTTCTGCCAATCTCAACTATCTCATTGCTCATTGCAGCATCAATTATCTCAGAATCAGGTGATTCCTCAGATGATGATTCTGCATAAAGTTTCTTGCTTTTCTGCTTCATAATCAAAGATTTGTCTTTGTTTCCTGCCCTTGGCTTCCAATCTTGAATTCTTTCTCTTGTTGCATTGTTTCTTTCAGAATCATACAGAGGTATATCGGATCTCGTTCTCTCCGGCCTCCTAACACCAGAAGATTTATGTCTTCCTTGAACTGGATAAAGTGATCCACTTGCAGTTTGCAGCCCTGTTGAAGCTCTTGATAGTTTCTTTAATCTCCTGCCCTTAAATCCTTCCTCAGACAGAAGCTGCTGTAATGACATTGCCATTCAGTTCAAATTACAACTGACCTGCACTTATTTCAAAAACACAAAACAAAGATTAGTTCAAATATATATATCTATATTTTTTTTTGTGGTGAGAGAAATCCGCAGCCACTATTCAAGGGTGTGCAGTGCGTAAATCTCGTCTTGTGACCTTAGCCAGTAAAGGATCACAAGGAGTTAAATCAATCTAAGTTGCCCATAACTGACCAGCTCGAACCAAGAAGGTCAATAAACCGTTCTGTGAGTTGAACTTGTAACCTTGTGATTATCAAGTTAACTGTCTGACCATTTGGTCGTGACTAATCTACTCTTTGGTAAGGGCGTTCACAAGAAAATCTTTTTAAAAATACAAACTTTTCTTTTAATCCATCTTAGAGGACCATATTTGCTCATTTCTTAAATTACAGCAACAACATATAGCTAGTTGTTTCATAAAATCAATCACTCACTTATACAGACAATAATCATTATATATTCAGTCAGTATATTATAATATACACTTCTATTTCCTCAGGGCTGAGATAGATACATAAAAACACACAAATATACATATGCATATATATCAAAGCAAGAAAAGTATGAGGAAAAACAAAGGGAAAAAGGGGTACCTTAATCAAGCTGTGTTTTTTTATCTTTTATCACAGACTTTCACGTTGAAACTCCATGGATGCGAACTGTTGAGACCAAGAATCTGGGAAGATGAAGAGAAACAGGTTCTTCTTGGAAGAAGAAGATGAAATTAAGACAAAAGGCCATGAGGGTAGAAGAGTTTTTGATAAATACAAAAATTGGCATTAAAGAAATGCAGTAATAAAGAATTGGAGAAGGCAGGAGACTGAAACAGCGGGCATGAAGGAGAAAGGTACAGACAAAGCAGAAGATGACAACTAAGAAAACAACCTAAAGATACCTCACAACGTATTTAGCTTTGGCTTAACTATGTTTTGCACCTTTGCTTACGTATCTGCCGGCCATAGCTCAGACCCTTTCAATGGCGGCCGTTTCTTGGTATGAATTGCATGCATTGCCCCCCTTTACTTCATGGAAATAAACTATGGCCACACTAGTAATTATAATTGCACCAATAAGACAATTTTTTTTTTTTATAAGTTTGAACCCCAAACTTAAGGACCCTACCTCACCGCTCTTGTCCTAAGACAGGTCCATGAGATAAATCTCCATAATACATTAAAACCCTGCACCTTGAGACGAATAGCACAACAAATTTATAAACTTATTTTAAGTTGATTGATCGATCGATTGAATTGTGTTTGACTCTTTCTTAGAGGGAAGAAAGAAAAAAACTAGCTTATAAGTATTTGTGTCATTGTGAGTTGGACCATTCGAGAAAACAACATGGGTGTAAAGACAAGATGGAAGAGAAGAATGGTTACTCATGTTATCATTCAATCTACAAATTTATTGGCTTTCTTGTGAATATGATTTATTTAACTTGAAATTTTATACTAGGAAGACAAGTACATTTTAGATAACTTTGATTTTGAGCAATATTATTTGTTGACTAAATAAATATATCACTTGATCACATGACACATTAGTTTTGAAGAGTTGAGCAGTTATATTATTTGACATGCACGATTAAATAGATATACATTTTGCACATTTTGATATTTGATGCGTGCTCTTTTAAAAGGTTTAAATTATGGTTAACATGCACGAGTTTTTTTTGAGTTAAATTTTGATATGGATTAATAAATTTTTGAAAGAATAGTGACAATTGATTTATAGAGAAAGAATCAAGGATGGATGAGGATTGGATATGTAGTAATGATTCCAACTCCTACTTTTATGTTGTCTTCATATGAACTACAATTCTCTCAACTGATCTTAATTATGTTGTTTTCATTTGGAATGAGACTGAAAGCTGAAGTTTCAATTCAATAAAAGAATTTCAAATTCCAACTTTAAGTTTTAACATATGGATGTTAGCAGTTGACTAATCTTAATTAAATATGTTAATGATGGAGCAATATACCTCTAATACTTTAATTTGAATTCCTAAAAATGATGACAAATGAAAAAGAAGAAACTAACATTCCATCTCATACCAATGAGGAGGGAAAAATGAAAGTCAATATTCAAATCTTTTATTAGAATGTCAATGCATTTTGTTTACACTTTCAATTCATATTATAGTATTTAGAAGTATTAGGTATACAGGGATGTGACCAATAAAAAGAGATGATAAAATAATTGTTAAACGGCCATTTTAAACATTCCAATTCTTTCAAGTCTTTATAAAATGAAATTTTTTAACTAAATAAATATTAAATCAGCGTGTCATTGAATTTGCCTCTTTATTTCATGAAAATTAAATTATGGCTACACTAGTAATTATAATTGCACAACACTATATTTTCCTAAATTAGCGAACAGTACATGTGTGAACACAGTATGGAAAAGAAGAATGATTATTTGTTATCTAATTTGCAGAAATGTTATTTGTCTAACTAAACATATTGACATGACAGGTTTCTACCAAAAATACCTCCTAAAAGTTTCCCGAGATAGGGACCTTGATGACACTTAACATAATCAAGAAACTCAATTTTGTAGTGCTTGATTGCGTACTGATTAGCATTAGAATCACAAAATGACAGTACTTAACATATTTAATTGATACGTTGAAGTAAATGTGAACGAGATATGTCATTACAAGTAAAATCACTTGATTAGTATCCAGGCCTCAATGACATCTCAACCTATTTAATTTCCTCCAATATTTCAAACCCTTCCCAGCTAAACCTTTAATTTGTATTATACACTCCAATGCCTTCAAAAGAGGAAAAAAAAAAAAGGATCAGTTTTGCATTTCGAAGACTTAGTATTTTAGGAAGGCAAATTTAGTATCTCTACTCATCAATTTAAACTGTGAAAACATGCAAATAAGGTACAGTAGCTTCATGCAGTTAAATTGTTGAATTGGTTCATTCAAAAGAAGTGTGGTCTCGTATATATGGTGAATATAAATGGCATGAAGAACTTCCCTTTTCAATGCTTCATGGCATGATCAAGCTCATAATAATACTTCAAAACTTTCACATACATTTCATGTGCCAAACTAATTGGAACAGTATTTGTATTTGGTTATATGTATTTTCTTAGAATTTGTATTTAATTTTTTACGCTTAATACCATATTAAATTATATATTTTTGTATTTTTATTAAGGGAAAATGGCACTTTTTCCCCCTATGTTATATACTTATAGCACTTTTTCCCCCTCAATTATTTAAGTGGCTCTTTTCCCCCCTGAAATGTTAAATGGACATATTTACCCTTAAAATAAATAATTCATTTATTTTTATTCTCCAATAAATTATTACTATAATTTGGTTCAAACCAGATACTATAGTAACCAAACCAAAATATTCCAATTACAATTTATAATCAAAACGCGATATTTAGAGTTTATTAAAATCGCGAACTGGAATGGCTGGTTCATGTTCCGAACTGAAAAAATAAAATACATTTATTGTTGAATTTAAACTATTTTAAAATAAAAAATAAAATTTTAAAATATAGACAGTTCAAAATCGCGAACGGGATCCGGAACCGCCGGTTCATGATCCAGTTTTTTTTATTCTTAAATTTAATAAATTGAAATCCAAATATTGAGTTCTAGATCTGAATCATAACTGAAAGCTTTTAATTCGATTGTTATAGTGTCTGGTTTAGTTCGAACCGAACCGTGGTAATCGCTACATATACGCAATAATTTGTTGGAGAAGTAAAATAAATAAAATGTTTACTTTAAGGGTAGAAATGTCAATTTAATATATTAGGGGGAAAAACCACCACTTTTAAAATAATTGAGGGGACTAATGTGCTTACATAAATAATTGAGGGGAAAAAAGTGCTATAAGTATATAACATAGGGGGAAAAAGTGCCATTTTCCCTTTTATTAAACATGAATTAATAAAATACATTTAAATATTATATATTAAATCATTACTGCAGTTCTAAATTAAAACTCGAAAAATTCCCTACCAATTTCCAAAATTAAGCCGCCTAAAATTTAAAAATTGAATAACCAATAAATAAATCTCAATCTCAATGCTAAGCACCCTTACAATTTCTTGAGTATAACTCAGGGTTTCCATTTTCGAACACAGTGACTAATTTCCTTGCTAAATTATAGCACTGCTACAATTGTTATTCACAAAACAATTATTTCATGATGGATAACACTTGTGTGAGACCGTCTCACGGGTCGGATCTTTGATTAATGGGTCGAATATTTGATTAATAGGTTGGATCTTTGACCTCATTAATCAAAGATCCGACCCGCCTTACGAATTGAGATGTGTGAGACATTCTCACACAAATTTTTGCCTTCCATGATATGACAAAATGTCAAAATGCTAGACACTAATTTTCTTCCCTTTTTTCTTTATTTTTAATTTTCTTTCTTTTAATATTTATCTTATAGGGTAAGGAGTGTGGATCACAAAACGACCAATATGACAAAATGCTAAACTTTTTTTATGGGAAAAAAGGTCAAATACATCCCTGAAGTTTATATAGAAAGTCAATAAAAGCCCTAAATTTTTAAGGGAAAAGGGTCAAATACACCCCTGAACTTTATACAAGAAGTCAATTAGGCCCCTGAACTTTAAAATGTTGCAATTAAACCTATAAACTTGTTACTTTTGTGCATTTAGACCCAATTACAAATTAATTACTTGTAATAGCAGGTGAGATGCTGACGTGTCATTTTTTAAAATAAATAATAATAATATATTATTATAAAATTATAAAAAAAAATTAAAAAAGAGAGAAGATGGAAGCCATCGCTGCCATCTTCTTCTTCTTGCCTGGGAAACTAAATTTTGTTTTAAAAAAGAGAAGATGGCAGCCTTCGCTGCCATCTTTTTCCTGCTGCCTTCTTCGTCTCCACTAGAGACGGAGGGGGAACAATTTTATTTTATATTTTTTAAATAAAAACGAAGAAGAGAGAAGATGGCAGTCATGGCCATGGCTGCCATCTTCTTCTTAAGTCTCTTTCGTCTCCAGTGGAGACGAAGGGAACTCTTTTTTATTTTTTTTATTTTTAAAGAAAAAGAGAAGATGACAACCATGGACTGCCATCTTCTTCTTGCCTCCATCTTCGTAGGAGGCTAGCAGGCAAGAAGAAGAAGATGGCAGCCATGGCTGCCATCTTCTCTCTCTCTCTTTTTTTATTTTTTATATTATTTTATTATTAGTAATTATTTTTAAAAAATGACACGTCAGCATCCCACCTGCTATTACAGGTAATTAACATGCACAAAAATAACAAGTTCATAGGTTTAATTGTAACATTTTAAAGTTCAAGGGCCTAATTGACTTCTTGTATAAAGTTCAGGGGTGTATTTGACCCTTTTCTCAATTTTTAAACGTTGCAATTAAACATATTAACTTGTGATTCTCGATTCTCGTGCATTCAGCCCCAAGAAGAAGTTAATTACAAGTAATAATAACAATATAATATAAGATCATATGTGACAATTGACATGGCATTCTTTAAAAATAAATAATAATAATAAATTAATATTTAAAAAAAAAAAAAAAAGATGGCAAGCGTTTTTTTATGAGAAAAAAGGTCAAATACACCCCTGAAGTTTATATGGAAAGTCAATAAGACCCCTAAACTTTAAAAAAAAAAAAAATGGCAAGCGTTTACCATACGTTTGGGAAGAAGAATGCTGCCTTCAACGTACCTTTTGTTATTTATTTATATATGGAGGTGCAGGGAATT